GGGCGGGGGAAGGGCTGGTGTGCGGTCTGGGGTCCCCTGGCAGTGGTGGGTAGTGGCGGGGGGCTGCTGTGTGGCAGAGTCCAGGAAGCCCCTCCAAGCACCTGGCTCAGCCTTGTGGCAGCTGATGTGCTGCCCCCGGGCACTTACCTCAAGACAGGTTTGGGGATGCATTCCTGTGTTTGTGGCCAGAGCTGGCTTCCTCTCAGCCACACGTTTGGAGCGGTGGCCAGAGCTGGAGGAGGGAGGCCGTGGGGCAGGCCTCAAGTCCTGCTGGCAGCCTGAGCCTGTCCCTGCACTGAGCATGCCTGCCCGTCTTCATGCTTGGAGGAGGCCAGCCTGCACTTTGGCTCATGTCCCCCCAGGTCATTATTTAGGCCCTGGCTGCACCCTGTTTCCTGGCTTTCTGTGCCATGCACCTCAGCAGCAGCAGGTGCTAGGTGCTGGGCACCCATCCACCTGCCGGACACGTAGGGAGGGCAGGCCACAGGGGAGATCCCCGCAGGCAGTGGTGGTGCTCAGGCCAAGTTTGCACTTGCTGACCTGCTGGGGGTGGGGCAGCGGGGCGTGAGGGATGACCCTGGTTTGCTCCAGGCTCCCACGGCTTTCTGGTGGTGAAGACCCACCCTCAGTGCCACTAGTGCGAGCTGGCACAGCGCTGCCCCCACTGAGCAGCTGGTGGCGGCCGTGGGCACTGTGCTGCCCGTGCCATGGCCCCACCTTGGCGAGAGGGAGAAGCGGGAGAGGGGCCAGCTCGCCCGGGAGGGTGTGGAAGAGGGGAGCGGCTGTGGCTTCCCTGGGTTTCCCGGGGTGATGGGCGTGGCATCTCGAGGGGGTTCCAGGGTGTCCCTTGAATGTGGAGCAGCTCTTGGTGGGCGAGACGCACCTGCTATCTGCTTGAACCCTTTTCACTCTGGTTGGAGTGGTTTGTAGCAAGTGCCAATTACTTTGGTGCAAACACGCCCACTTGGCAGGTGGCAAGCTACCAACAGGATGTTAACCAGCTCATGAGATTCTCAAAGCTTGAACGATCTGCTGTGTAAGTCGTAGGAAGGCTGGCTGATTCCAGCGCCCCCATGTTCTGCTCTCTGTCCCCCAGCTCCGTCTGGCCCCTCGTGCTATGGGCGCTGCCACTGAGCCCCAACCTATCTGTATATCGTGACAAGGACACATAACACAAAGTCTGGCAGGGCACACAAACATGGCCTGGTGTTCTTATTCCACGTGCGGCCCCCAGTCTGCTCTGGGCCCTACAAGTAAAAGTGGGGCCAGCAGCTTCTGTCCAGGAAACAGTGGGGCTTCAGATGTCGGGACTGGCCTGTTGGTTCTGGAGCGTAGTTGGTCATCTTCCTTCCCAGGCGTGAGCCTGGCCAACATTCCTGAAAGCTGGTGGGGGATGCATGAGGTCTGCAGCAGGCCCGCATTTGCTGAGAGCCAGGGTGAGGTGCACCTCCTCCTGCCCGCCCCTATTGGCCCGGGGCTGGGCGTGTCACACCTTGGCTCATCATCACAAAACCAGCTCTGGTTCTCATGGTTACATCGGAACCTCGCCCCAAAGGGGCCCAGCTCCGCACGCCTTGCGTGGTTCCGCAAACGCTCTGCCTGCCCAGCTCAGCTCTGTGGGGTCGATGCCGGAGCGCTCTCTACGTGTGCATCATTCCCCCAAAATTGCCACGATCAAGAACAGCCTGAGTCAGCCCCCAGTAGGCAGGCAGTTGGTGGGCAGTGAGCCAGGAGAGGCCGTGTCCTGGGCCCCCGCCCCCCACTGTTGGCTGTGTGCCTGGACCGCCACCTTCCCGCCCTTGCGTTACCCGCCCTTGCCCAGGCGGCCCGTGTTCACATCACGTCCCTGCCCCAGCTTGAGAGCAGTAGTTAGAGAGTGGGTCCGTGACAGGTGAGGGCTGGGCTGAGCAGGGCGAGTGGCGTGAGTGACGTGAGCTGGCCTCACTGTGACCACTCGGGTGTGCTCGGGAGCCCACGGGGCTGGGAGAGGTGGTGGGGCCTGGGTGACTGGCCTGTCTCTGCCGTCCCTCCTCCCCTGTAGGTGCTGCCCGGTTGGGCCCAGAAATGGGATGTCAGGCCTCCGAAAGGAGCATAGTGGAAGCGAGGGCCTCGAGCGGCTGCTGTGACGGCCAGTGAGTGAGCCGCGTAGGATGTCCACCACGACGACGGTCGCCCCTGCGGGGATCCCGGCAGCCCCGGGCCCGGTGAACCCGCCCCCGCCGGAGGTCTCCAACCCCGCTAAGCCCGGCCGCAAGACCAACCAGCTGCAGTACATGCAGAATGTGGTGGTGAAGACGCTCTGGAAACACCAGTTTGCTTGGCCCTTCTACCAGCCCGTGGACGCAATCAAGCTAAACCTGCCTGTGAGTGCCCCCCCCCTCCGCCGGCATCCCTGCCCCTCCCCTCCCCACTGGCATCCCTGCCCCCCTGTTGCCCCCCTCCTGGAAGGACTGCCCCTGGGCCCAGGCAGCTGTGGTGCCGGTAAGCCAGGCACAGCACAGGGCCTGTGGTGACCGAGGAGCGGAGGGGCTCCTTGGGTGTGGGAGTGTGGAGGGCGGTGGTCCCCAAATGTAGGGAACAGGGGAGAACCTGTGCCTCCCTGCTGTTCCTGTGTACCCTCCTGTAGAACCATGCCTCTGACCCCTGTTGCGGTCAGATGCTCAGGGCAGGTTGTGGCCCTCTTTCCAGGCGAAGCTGCCCATCTGCCCCTTCAGTGCTGGCCCAGTCTTCTCATGGGTTTCTTATTTGGACCCAAATAGAGAAACCCCCAGTGTTGCCTGGGGAATCCCTGGGCCACTAGTTGGTGGCCTGGGTTCTCGGCACAGCTCAGTACTGGTCACCGGTGGGCCCTGGGTTTGGAGTCTGAGAGGGGGCTCGGCCCCCTCACCACAGTGCCGATCAGCTCTGGGGCCTGCCCCAGCTGCCCAGTTCCGTGCATCTCTAAGAACCGCCTGTCCGTGTGGAGCCTGTCGGGCGAGAGGTGTGGCAGGGGTTGGAAGTGGGCCGGGTGCTTGCCCTAGACTCTGCACCTGCCCTCAGCTGACCAGACACTGCCTTTGGCCTGACCCCGGTGCCCAGCTCACCCGAGAAGATGCTCCGTGTGCAATCGCCCTCCTCGGGGACGGTGAACACAACGCCTCAGAATCTGCTGATGATGCCTCTGAAAATCTCTTTCCCAGGATTATCATAAAATCATAAAAAACCCAATGGATATGGGGACTATTAAGAAGAGACTAGAAAATAATTATTACTGGAGCGCGAGCGAATGTATGCAGGACTTCAACACCATGTTTACAAATTGTTACATTTATAACAAGGTAAGAAAGCACCTGCGGCATGGCTCCCCGAGTGCCGAGGGGACCCTCTGGCCGGGCCTGGGCTCTGTGGTGGCTCTCAGACGGGGGGCGTGTCACCCCCAGGCTGCAGTCCCCATTCTGGGGTCCCATGTGCTGTCCACGCCCCCCCCCGGGGGGGGGAGTGAAGCCCGGAGCAGCCTTTGTGGGGGGCCTTATGTATCAAACGCTTTAACTGTTTGTGCCCTCGGACCTCGAAACTCCAGCCTCGAAACTCCAGCTGTCGGGACAGTGCTGGGGTCAGCGCGGGCTCATGGGGCAGAGCCGCAGCGTGCACACGCATGGCGACCGGAGGGCAGCCGAGCGCACCGTGACATCCACCTGCAGCCGCCCCACGTGGCCAGGCCACTGCATGACCAGGGAGCATGTGTTCACGATGTTTTTTAGCAAGAAGATGGTTCTAGCGAGAAGAGTAGATTAGGGAAGGTCCACGTGGTCCTGACTTGGTGGGGTTTTTGTTGTTTTCTGATCGCGACAGGATATAGCAAAGATGAATTGAGTTGAACTGAGTGGAAGGTTCTGTTTTCTGCATGGGATAGGCCAAAGGGTGATTCTTGTTCTTGGTTTTCTGAATTCTTTCAAGAGTCCCCACAGTAAAATAAGGCCCTTTCGCCTCCCCCATCGCCTGCCCTACCAAATCTCTGAACGGATTTTTGAATAAATGTTTTCTTGAGCCACAACCGGTGATGTGTTTGCAAGCACGTGGCCTCTTGCCCAACAAGTGACCTTGGCTCTCCCTGTGTCTTCAGCCCACAGATGACATAGTGCTAATGGCCCAAGCCTTAGAGAAAATTTTTCTGCAGAAAGTGGCCCAGATGCCCCAGGAGGAAGTTGAATTATTACCCCCTGCTCCGAAGGGCAAAGGCCGGAAACCGGCTGCAGGAACCCAGAGTGCAGGTAACGGGGTGGACGGTGCCGTCCTTCTGTCCTGACACCCCCCCCCCCCGGGGCGTGACAACAGCATTTCTTGTGCGGGTCTCGGCCCCTCTGAGCTCAGTGTCCCTGTCTGTGAAGTTGGGGCGACATGGCTGGCTCTTGGTGGCATTGTTACCATCTGCCTTCGAGCCTACTCTGGTGGGGAGACTGGTCTTGCTGTGCCTGCGTGCAGAGGCCACCTCTTCCAGAAGTCTAGATGGGAGGTCCTTTTGTCCCCCTAGGACGTTGCCTCTCTAGCTGCTATTGTATGCTCTGGGACAGGAGAGGGGCTGTGTCACCCGTGAGGGAGGGTGGTGGGGATGAGGATTAGCACTAGGAGCCCTGGGGGTCTTACCTGGTCCAGGAACGGGGAATAGAGGTGCGCCCCGATGGAGAGACTGGCCCAGCTCCCCAGCCCTCGAGGAGGCTGCGGTGGGTCCCCACCAGTGCCAGCCACCCCGCTTTGCAGATAGGACCGTGGGTGGTTAAGTAGCTCTGCCCAGGTCACTCAGCTGGTTATTGGTGGAGTCTGAGTTAACCCCCGGTTTCTCGGGCCCAGGCCTCGCTCTTCCTTCCAGGCTGCACCTTGTGCAGGCTTCCTCATTCAGACTCTGGTCTCTGGCCAGAGGGAGGGCCTTTCCTTTGTTGGATGAGCGCCTGTGGAGGCTGGTTCCATGGAGGCAGCCACGGTGCAGGGCCAGGGGTCTCAGGAGGAGGGGCTCCCCGGCACTGATGTGCTCTGGCTGGACGGGATGGTTCAGGAAGCTTCCGGAAGCCAGCTGGCACGTAGAGCCTGGTGTGTTCAACGTCCTTTCCTTGTCTTCAAGGTACACAGCAGGTGGCGGCTGTGTCCTCTGTCTCCCCAGCAACCCCCTTCCAGAGCGTCCCCCCCACTGTCTCCCAGACGCCTGTCATTGCTGCCACCCCAGTGCCAACCATCACTGCAAACATCACGTCGGTCCCCGTTGCCCCGGCTGCTGCCCCACCTCCTCCCTCGACGCCCATCATCCCTGTGGTCCCTCCCACACCACCTGTAGTCAAGGTGAGTGACCCTGGGGACAAGGTCAGCTGGCTGTCCCATCACCAGGCCGGGTTCCTGGATTTGGGCAGGTGTGGGGCGGGCACCTGTCCCTGGGCACCGACTTCTCATCGGGTGTTTGGTACACGTGACACTGGAGTGGTTCTCTCTGTGCCCATGAGGTTGGGCTGTTGCCCCTAATGCAGACGGGGAGACCGAGGCTCAGGGAGCTGCAGGTCACACAGCTGGTGAGGGTGCCCTGCTCTGAACCCCAGTTTCTCTGGCCTGGAAGCCCTGGCCTTCGCGGGACATGGGTCACCGTGCGAGAGGAGGGTGGAGGGGTCCCGGAGCGCCCCTGCTCACATGTGGATTTAGGGCAGCAGCCTGGTGCACGGTGAGGAGCCAGTGCCCGCGGCCTGCACTGTGCGCCCCTGCTCGCGTGAGCTCCAGCACGTCCGTCTCCCCAGTGTGTGGCTGGGCACTTTCATGGCAGGGACCGTCCTGGCCGGGTCTGGGCTCAGAGCCCGTGCTCCTTGTGAGATCCGGGGCAGGCCCCGTGCCGGGTGCTGATGTGTGTTGTCTTCCGTTTGCCCCTCGCAGCGGCCCTGTGGGCCAGACAGTATTTCCCCCATCTTACAGATGAGGAAGCAGGCGCTCGGGGGGGTTAAGTGGCCCCCCCCAAGGTAACACGCCCCCGCCATTGCTTTCCCTCCCCCGTGGCCTTCACTGCCTGCACTTCCGGGCGGCACCGGGCCAGGCTGCCTTACACCGTGCCCGGCTGGTTTTGGAGCATGTCCTGTTTGCCATGGCCGGGTGAGCTCCCCCCGGGCCTCTGTGGCACACGCTTGGTGTCCTGTGGGTGCCCACACGTGTTTGTGGATAGCCAGCTCGTGCCCTGACAGCCTGGGGGCGGCGGCTTGGCTGGGGCAGAGACCTGGTGGCGGCCCAGAGAGCAGGTCGCTATAAGGCCGTCAGCCTGGGCGGTGCGGCTCCGAGGGGCCCCTCTGCCAGTCTGAGAGGTCTGCGAGGCGGGGAGCTGGCTGAGCTGGTCTCGGGGACGTGCTGAGCCCGGGCTGCACAGCGCACCGTGCTGCCCGTGGGCACCCGGGAGCGGTGCCGGAAGAGACCCGCACGGCCCAGGACCCACCGTTATTCCCCACGTTCTCACCCTCGGGGCACAGCCCGTGTGAGTGTCTGCCCTGTGCACACCCACAAGGGGCTCAGCGGACCATTTTAACATTCCCTCCCCTTGTGGACAGCAGCTCTCTCTGGCTCCCACTGCCTTCAGGGTTCCAGTCCAGACCTGCCCAGTCAGCCCCCGGGAGCCCTTGCTCCCACACCCACCGCTGCTGCCCTGCCCCAGCCCCGCATGCTCTTCCTGCTCCTGGCCTCGGCCCGCTCCACGACGGCTGTCCTTGGAGCTCCAGCTTGGAGGACCTCATCTGGGCCTTTCCCACTGGCCTTTCTAAGCAGGGATTTCTGTTCGTCTCTGCTGTCCCTTAGCCTGGGTCCTGCTTGGGGCTGATCCTAGCGCCAGGTCCACCTCGGTCATGTTGTCTCTGGAGCCCCCCACATGGGCCCGAGGTTCGACGCAGGTGACTTGCATGCCACACCTCACAGTGCTCGGGCGTCACCTCGGAGCCCTGGGGGCAGGCGGAGGGGACCCTCGTGGGGCGGCTTGGGGGGTGGGTTCTGAGTCCAGCCTTCCCACTACCAGCTGTGTGACCTTGGGCCCTAGACGTGGCCCCTCTGAGCCTCGGTGTCCTGCGTGGCGCGGGAGGGCAGCCAGGGGGACGGGCGTGGCTGTGCATGCCGTCGCTTTGCTCAGCGCCTGGCGGGGAGCGCTCTGGAAGCGCAGCTGCAAGCGTTCACGTTCTCGCGCCCCGGGCTCGGTCCTGGGGCTCACCGGTTGTCTCGCTGTCGCAGAAAAAGGGCGTGAAGCGGAAAGCAGACACCACGACGCCCACGACGTCCGCCATCACTGCCAGCCGGAGCGAGTCGCCCCCGCCGCTGTCAGACCCCAAGCAGGCCAAGGTGGTGGCACGGCGGGAGAGCGGGGGCCGCCCCATCAAGCCGCCCAAGAAGGACCTGGAGGACGGCGAGGTGCCGCAGCACGCGGGCAAGAAGGGCAAGCTGTCGGAGCACCTGCGGCACTGTGACAGCATCCTCAAGGAGATGCTGTCCAAGAAGCACGCGGCCTACGCCTGGCCCTTCTACAAGCCGGTGGACGCCGAGGCCCTGGAGCTGCACGACTACCACGACATCATCAAGCACCCGATGGACCTCAGCACCGTCAAGGTACCGTGTGGCGGGGGCTCGGGGCGCGTGCGGGCCGCCCCCTCTGCCGTCGTGCAGGCTGTGTGCTGCTGCTGTGCCGGCTGGGGGGCCGCTCAGCATGGCGCGGGTCCGGCCGCGTCTGGGACGAAGGTGCGTTCTGCCTGTCGTCACCGAACCTGGGGCCTCGCGGTCCTTCGTTCCGCTGGAATCTGTCTCCTGTCTCGGTGTGCGGGTTTTGTAACGTCCGCAGGGACGCCCTTTCGGGTGACCCACCCCGCCCTGGCCAGAGAGGGGCCCTGGAGCAGGGGAGGTAGACTCGAGACCCAGAGCCCGGGCTCCCCGGGCCTCCCGGGCCAGGGGCTCCTCCCTGGGCCTCAGTGGGTTTTGTTCTGGGTCCGGCCCATTGTGTCCAAGCAGAGAGCAGGCTTGTGCTGGGCCGTGAGCGAGAAAGTGCCCGGGCGGCAGTGACCCCAAGGGCAGCAGACCCAGGGCTGCAGTGAACTCCCAAGGGGTCTTCCCTGAGCACACGCAGGTGGGGTTCCTGACCCCCCGATCGGCTGGGGCCCCAGCACACATGCCCTCCCTCAGGTAGCGCTCTGAGCCAGCATGGTGTTGATCTCTGGCCCCTTCAGGAATGCCCCTGGCCACTGGGGACTGTAGTCCACCTCCCCTGTGAACTGGCATTCTGCCTGGTTTCCCAGTGATGCCAGCCTGGGGCAGAATCTCCGTACTGGAGCCTCCCCCCTGGGGTGCTTGGGGGTTTCGGGCAGGACAGACCTTGCTGTGTGGGTTGGTGGTGCTGGGTGAACCACGTGGGGGGACCGAGCCTCTTCCTTGGATACCTTCCGTCCTGCCCCTGCTGGGAGCCTAGTAATGTTCTTTCCTTTGGATGGTGTTTTATCCCTGTGAGTTGGCGCGAGTAGAGAACAAATGGAAAGATTCCAGCAAAGCAGAGGTGGGAGGAGGGCAGAGTGCACTGTTGCCCCTCTTTCCGGGGAGGATTCCTAACCGTGGTCTGGATTTGCTCTCGCCCGAGGCCTGCTCTCTCCTAGCCGGTCTTGACCATGGGGCAGTGGGTGGAACGGGGCTCCCAGGCCAAGTCCGAGGCCGAGCTCTCCCTGCTCAGGGTCTGTGGGGTCCTGGCTCTGGGCCAGCAGTGGGTGGCTGTGCGCCCATTCGGCCTCCGCACACAGTGTCCTGGCTGGGATTTGGGGTGGTGGGGGGTAAAGGGGCTAGGCCTTTGCACGCACCCTGATGTTTCGAGACGGGGAAGCTGAGGCTGGAGGGTCCGCCCCGAGTGAGCTGCTGGTGGAGCCAGTCCCAGAATCCACGTCTTTGACTCTTGGGGCCTCGAGCCGAGCCGGCAGAGCTCATGTCACCCAGATGAGGGTGACTCTCTCTGTGCCCTTCGGAATCCCCAGAACTCTCGGGAGGCCAGTGAGACCAGTGACTTGTACGTGCCACACCGCCAGGGAGCGGCTGAGTGGGGAGGCTGCCCGGCCCTGGTGTGCTGGTGCACCTGCAGGCTGAGGCCGTGTCCTCTGGGCTACCGAGCGGGGGCCGCATGCACGCGGCGGTTTGCTCTGGCCTTCCCCTTCAGAAATACCCGTCGTCTGCGAAACAGTGAGGAACGACACACAGCTGCCCGACTGTCCGTGGGCACCCCACGTGCACTTAACGTGTAGCCTGTGTGTTCCCAGCCCCCGCCCCCCGCCCCTTGGGAGAGCCGCCAGTGGTCAAGTTAGGACCAGAGTCTGAAAATCTGGCAGAGGTTGAGAAGGTCTCGGGTGCCCGTTTGTCCTCCCTAGCTGGGCCTCCCCCGAGTAGGGAGGCTGTGCTGAGGGCTGGAGCCATGCAGCCTGGGAGCTGTCAGAAGCTCTGCGACTGGCGGGGGTGCGTACCCAAGGCACTAGAGAGGCTGCGGGCCCTGGAGTCGGGCTGCACTCAACCCGCCAGCGTCCAGGTCTGTGTAGGTGCGAGCGAGACCCGCACTGTCCTCCAGGGGTGCATGGTCCCCAGGAGAGCGGGCGCCCCCCACCGACAGGCGGTCCCTGACTGACAGCTTCTACTTGAACCCGTGCAGACCCAGGGAGCTCGCTGCCTCACCAAGCAGTTCCCCTCCATGTGCCCTGACTGGCAGCTTGTTCTAAGTGCCGCCTCGCGGTGTCTGTCGATGGTCGCGCTTCTGTCCTCCCCGTGAGTGGGCGTGTTGTCTTACCCCCACCAACCCCACCTCGTCCTGCTGGGTTGCGAGCGGCAGGCTGGCCAACAATGCCTGGATTCTCACAGCGATGAAGTCAGTGTCTCAACCCGCGAACTGAGGAGACCCCCGCGCCCCCGCCCCGAGTTGGCAGCAAGTTTACCGGAAGTTCCCCGTTCGCCCTGGAGCTCCTCCCGTCAGGGACTTCTCTGTGTATAAAGCTACGGGGCGTGTAGAGCTGGAGGCTATAGCGCAAGGAGAGGTTACGTGGCGGCCGCGGGAGCCAGGGTTCAGGCCGCCTCCCTGGGGGTCCCGGAGCCTCTCTTCCGAGCCCTCGAGTCCCGCGCCCACGCTGTCCCTCGGGGCTCCCGGGGACGAGGTCTGGGGCTGGCCGTGGATGGTGGTCGTGTGGTGGTGTGAGGTGCTGCATGCGGGGCCTGGCTGGGCCCTGGGGTGCCGGGCAGCGCCCCTCACCCCGGCCGCTTGTGTGTTGCAGAAGAAGATGGACAGCCGTGAGTACCCAGACGCGCAGGGCTTTGCTGCCGACATCCGGTTAATGTTCTCCAACTGCTACAAATACAACCCCCCAGACCACGAGGTGGTGGCCATGGCCAGGAAGCTCCAGGTAACTGGAGGCGCTCTCAGGCAGAGGGGCCTTCGGGGCACGGGGGGGGACCAGCAACCTGGGGCAGGCGCCCAGGAAAGACCGGCCTCCCGGAGAATGGACAGCTGCGAAGGCCGTGGGAGAGCCTCACCTGCACAACACCTTTCTCCTGAGCGGTGCCCGGCGCTGGCCAGGCCCCAGGCCTGCTTCCCGGGCACACGGTGGCGGACAGTCCAGCCTCTGTCCCCCGGGAGCTGCAGGCACACGTTCCCGTGGGGAGGGGGAGGATGAGAGGGCAGGGGTCCCTCCTCCCGCAGCTCCAGTCTCTGTGCGAGGGAGCCTTTGTCACGGGCCTGCCAGTGAGCCCGGGCACCTGACGCTTGCGTGTGACCTTCTGTCAAAAGTCTGGGTGCTGCCCGCCTAGTTCTGTGTGGGTCAGTGCGCTCTCCTTACGACAGACACTGGTGCTTTTATAAATGACAGCACCAAAATGTTAAAGGTTTTTTTTAAATTTCAGAGAGAGCGTGAGCACAAGTGGGGGAGGGGAAGGGAGAGGGAGAGAGAGAATCTCCAGCAGACTCCTCGCTGAGCACGGAGCACAACGTGGGGCTCGATCTCACCAGCCTGGGATCATGACCTGAGCCAAAATCAAGAGTCCAACACTTAATCGACTGAGCCACCCAGGTGGCCCAACAGCACCAAAATTTTAAACGTTATGTAATTGGAAGACTTTTTTTTGGAGGGAAGAGTAAAAATTGTGGATCTCTACTCTCTTCCAGCAGTTTTTTTTTTTTATACCCAAAATGCAGGCTGTTTGTTGTGTGAGCTATTCCTAGTCTTTTACTCAGAACCCTTTGAAAACCCCATAAAACAGCTCATGGTGTCACCCTTGGCCACCCAGGACCCAGAGGAGGGAGGAGAGGGAAGCTGTCTTTTGTGCTGCTGGGTCCTCCTGTGTTGAGTGGGCCTTTCCCAGGTTCTGCTGATGCAGGCTGTGCCCTCCGTGGACCGGCTCCCCTTGGGAGTATGGTGCAGCAGTCCCGCTGGTCCCAGGATGCCCAGAAGCCAGCAGGATCTGTGGTTTTGTGCTCAGACCACGCCCCACTGTGTCTGGGAGCAAAAAGGCTCTGCACGGTTCTACTCCGTGTTTACTCTGTGATGCTCCCGAACCTGGTAAACTCCTGGTACAGCTTAATGAGAAAGCCAGGCGGGGCTGGTGCAAATCGGGTGTGGAGGCCAGTGGCTCTGGTTCTGTTCCTGCTAAAGCTGGTTCTCGGCAGTCTGGCCACAGAGGCTGCAAGTCGCGATTCCCAGTGCACTGAGCAGTCATGCCAGTCCAGCTCTGGGGTCGGAGCCCCGCACGGAAGCAGCCTGCTGTCAGTGCTCCTCCAGCCATGTGCCGAGAGCGGGCTGGACCGCTGTGCGCATCTGTGCCTCTGGGAGGAGAGTCTGGGACCAGTGGGGTGGCATTTCACGAGTGTGAGCTGGTGTGGATTTGTGTGTAGGAGCTTAGCAGAGAGGGAGCTCCCACGTGGCTGTGCACCCCCATGTGAAATGAACCTGGGCCGCCAGGAGAGGGGACCTTGGCTGGGAGGTGCCCCTGAGGGCCTGGGTCCTGCTCTGTGCAAGCTGGCAAGGGGCTTTCCAAAGCCAGCGTTGACGGAACAAGACTTTTGCCTTTGGAGCCAATTTTTGGGCCTAACTCAGGATGAGAGGTCATGCTGTGGTAAAAAGCTCTAGGGTGAGGAATGGGCGAGAATGTCAAGTGGCCCCCAGACCCGGCAGCTGCGGGCCCCATAGAGGTCATAGTTCAGACAAGGGCAGGCACTCCAGCTGCTTTGCAGTGGGCGACAGCCTCATAGGGCCTCAGACCCAGAGGCCATAAGGATACGCAGATCTACGGAAGGCTTGCATGCTTAATAAAGGGAGTTTGCGGACCAGTTCCTAGAAGGCTGCATCCGTGGCTGTTGGCCCCATGGCCCCTGCCCCCTGCCCCCAGACCTGCACTCAGTGCCTGGACAGGGAGGGAGGGAGGGCGGGAGAGCAAGCTAGGGCTGGCCCAGTCCCCCTGTGGGCCTGGCCTTCGAAGCCGCCGCGGGTGCAGCTCCGAGAGCAGCTCACAGACGCTCAGGTGTAGGTTCCCCACCCCAAGGGGCTTGCCCCATGGGCGTCCAGGACCTCAGGCGGCCCCTGCTTTCCCGCAGGACGTGTTTGAGATGCGGTTTGCCAAGATGCCGGATGAGCCAGTGGAGGCGCCGGCTCTGCCTGCCCCCGCGGCCCCCGTGCTGAGCAAGGGCGCTGAGAGCAGCCGCAGCAGTGAGGAGAGCTCCTCGGACTCGGGCAGCTCGGACTCGGAGGAGGAGCGGGCCACCCGGCTGGCCGAGCTGCAGGAACAGGTGTGCCATGGGGCCGGGCCGCCCTTGGCAGGGACCTGGGGGGGGCGTCCGCTCCGAGGGCCCCTCGGCAGCGCTAGAGGTCAGGGTCATGCCAGGCTGCCGTGTGGTGCCTCGCCCGCCGTGGAAGGGTCTTGCGGGCACCGGCTCCAGCCTCCCGACGGGGAGGAGAGAGCAGAGTAGAGATGGCCCCGCCGTCAGCGGCAGGGAGCTGGTGTTTGACTTTGGGCTGAGCCTCGTTAGAGGTGATGCCACAGGGAAGGTGGCCCTCGGTGTAGCCACCTGGCGGCCCCAGGATCTGTGACACCGTTTCCTCCCCTGTGAGGTGCAGCTCACGGCCCTCGCGGGGGTCGCTGAAATGAAAAGTGTGTAAAACGCCTAGCACACTACCAGGTATGTATCGACTCGGGGTAAACCTCAGCTGCTGGCCCTGGATCGTTTTAATCCTGTCTATCTGCCGTTTGGCATGCAAATGGCTTCTAAAGGTAGCTATTGAAAATCTCCTTTGTACAGACATACAAACCTCTGTGCAGAGTTGTCTCTAAGTGGCGAGGAAGTTGTTGCCGTGCCCCCTGTCCTGGCCTGAGGGCGCCACCGGGCCCATCGGTCAGCCTCCGGGCCTGTGAGCGGTGCCTCAGGTGGGGCCGGCGAGGCCCCGAAGCTCTCCAGCGCGCATAGGGGTCGTGAGGGCAGAGGGGGCCTTTGATGCCATCTGCTCCTGGCTCACCTCCCCACGCGTTTGAGGTAGCTCCAAGGGCACCCCGAGGCCCCCTTGGGCCAGCCCCCGGGGAGCCCTGCTCAGCCGCCTGCTATTTTCCAGCTGAAGGCTGTGCACGAGCAGCTGGCCGCCCTGTCGCAGGCCCCGGTGAACAAGCCAAAGAGGAAGAAGGAGAAGAAGGAGAAGGAGAAGAAGAAGAAGGACAAGGACAAGGACAAGGAGAGGCACAAGACAAAGTCCGAGGACGAGAAGAAGGCCAAGGTGGCCCCACCCGCCAAGCAGGCCCAACCGAAGAAGGCTCCCACCAAGAAGGCCAGTAGCACGGCCACGGCCAGCAGGTGGGCTGTGGCGCCCTTCAGGCCCCTGCAAGCCCAGTGTTGCTAGGTGTCTTAGGTGCTTGTATGGCAGGAAGGGTACCGGATTTGGGCCTTCACACCTTGGCTGCAAATCCTGGTGACACAGAGACGGGGCTGGTACATGGGAAACGGGATGGGGGCAGGGTGGTCCTTGTCCCCGAGAATAGGGGGACAAAATGAGGCCTCTGCTGGGAAGACTGAGCTCTGGAGGGTGTCACTCGGCTGTCTGTGGGGTTAGCCTCTCAATCTCAGGCACTGGAATGGTCGCACTGTCTGGCACAGACTTCAGCATCTCAAGTCTTTGGGGCCGTTTTCCTGATTTGAGCCAAGGAGTCCTAGGGGCATTGTGCCTTGGTAAGGTTTTCTCCTTCCTGGTCCACCTGCCTTCTGTCTTCACTCCTACCGTGCACTGCCCTGAGGAATGCTTGCCACGGACAGGACCACAGGGAGATGAGGATGGGGGGAAGGTGCTCAGGGCCAGCGGGCCTCTCCTGCAAGGTAGAAGGAAGGCTTCCCAGAGGAGAAGTGACTGCTGTGCAGGAGCAAGCTCAGCAGCAGTCGGGAGAGGGTTCCGAGAGTCAGAACAGCAGAGACAAGGCCATGGAGGCCAGCAGACGTGTTCTAGGAATTAGTGGGAATTAGGACAAGGTTGGTTCCACTGAGGAATGGAGACTGGTTTGGGAAGAGGAGTTGGGAGAGGCTGCTGAGATTGACCAACTTTGCTGAGGCCTCTCGTTTTATCCTCTGAGCAAATGAAGGGAAGTCATGAGGTGTTTGAGCTGGAAGTGGTCAGATCCTGGACAGTGTGGAGAATGGATCATTGGGACGCAGGACTGGGAGAAAGGACAGCCTGGGGAGGTTTTGTGGTCATGCAGGCAAGAGAGGCCAGGGTGGCCATGGAGGTGGGAGGCAGAGGGACAGGCCTTGGTGCCTGGAAGCAGGAGGACAGGGGCATGGGAAACGGGGTTTGGGCCTTGGCGGCTGGGTAGGTAGTCAGCGGCATTAGTGAGGGGTAGTGGTGGGAATGCTCGTGTTTTGTCGTCCCTCCCTTTTCAGAGGGGAGGCAGGAGTCAGGTTTTCTTGTAATGTCTGTATGGATTTGGTGTCCGTATAACACTGGACTCAAAAATGAATTGGGAGGTGTTCTCTCCTCTGTTTTCTGGGTGGATTTATAGAGTTGGTGTTAATTCTTAAATACTAAGTAGAATTCTCCAGTGAAAGCATCTGGGCCTGGGGTTTTCATTGTGAGGCTTTTAACGATGAATTCAGTTATTTTTGTAGATACAGGACTAGTCAGATTATCAGTTTCATCTTGAGTGAGTTTTGGGGATTTGTGCTTTCGAGACATTGCTCCATTTCACTTGAAATGTGGAATTTATGGGCATTGGTTTGTTTGCAGTGTGCCCTTATGGTCCTTTTAACATCTGTAGGGCCTGTAGTGATGTGTCTTTTGTCTTTTTTTCATGGTGAATCTGAAGAGAGATTGATGAGTTTTATTGGTTGTTGAAGCAACCAGCATTTGATGTCATTGGGTTTTATCTGCTTTTATTTCCTTTTGTTTATGGTCTTATTTTTATTACTTCCTTTTGCTTGTTTTGGACTTAATTTGCTCTCTTAAAGTAGAAACTTAGATTATTGATTTGAGACCTTTTCTAACATAAATATTTAATACTATTTATTTCTGTCTAAACACTACTTCAGCTGTACTCCACAAATTTGATATGTATGATTTCATTTAGTTCAAAATATTTTCTAATTTCCCTTCAGACTTCCTCTTTGACCATGGGTTATTTAGAAGTATGTTGTTATTTAGAAGTACGTTGTTTAATTTCCAAGTATTTGGAGATCTTTTTCTGGACATGGTTCAGTTATTGGTTTCTGGCTTAATTCCATTAGGGTCAGAGAACATACTTTGTGTGATCTCAGTACTTTTGTTAAGATTTATTTTATGGCTGGGAACTGGGGAACGTTCCATGTGGACTTGAATATGTGTTCTCCTGCTGTTGGGTTGTTACCTGAATGTCAGGGGGAAAAACAACAACAACAACAAACACCCCCACCCCACCCCAGAAACATGTCAGTTAGGTTAATTTGGTTGATGGTATTCTTGGGGTCTTTTCTCTTCTTGCTGATTGCTTTATTAATCACTGGGAGAGAGAATCGTTAGATCCCCTGCTGTAATTGTGGATGTTTCTACGAACCTCCCTTTGGTTCTATCAGTTTTGCTTTATACATTCTAAAGCTTGGTTTTTAGATGCACACACATTGAGGGCTATGATGTCTTCTTGGTCAGTTGATCCTTTTCTCACTATGCCATGTCCCTCTTCTTCCTGACACTATTCCTGTTTCTGAAGTCTCCACTGTCTGAAGCTAACAGAGCCACTGCAGCTTTCTTTCGGTTAACGTTTGCATGGTGTAGTCCCCCCGTCTCTTTACTTTTAACCTACTTCTGTTATTGTATTTAACGTGGGATTGGTGGACCACATGTAAGTCAGTTTTGTTTCTTATCCAATCTATGTCTTTTAGTTGGTGTGTTTAGACTACTTATATTTAACGTAATGATTGATAAAATTGCATTTCGGTCTGCCATTCCATTACTTTCTGTCTTCCCTGTGGTTTTTATTTCTCTGTCCCCCTTTTCTGCCTCCTTTTGGATTGTTTGAATATGGAGGTCAGTTTTTGACCCGCTGAATCTGAGATGCCTGTGTGGTGTTGAGGGGAGCTGACCACTACAGTCTTTCCTGGCTCAGGCCGGGAAACCCCCAAGTTGGGAGCAGATTGTGCTCTGACCTCTGAAACAGGGTCTTCTATGTCCCTGCAGACACATATGCAGCCCTCAGTCCACCTGGCCTCTCTGCCCAGGGCACCACTTAGGGCTTGCGTCTTGTTAAAGAGCCTGGTTCTAGAGAGGAAAAAGGCCAGACAGAACAGGCAAGGGGCAGGGGCTCCGTGGACCTGAGGGGACATGGACTGGGGGCTGCACAGGGGCTGGAGGGACATGGACTGGGGACTTCACAGGTGTCGGGAGGACAATGGGCAGGGGTTCCACAGGGGCTGGGGGGCCATGGGCTGGGGTCTCTGCGGGGGC